GGGGGGGGTGCATATTCATATATTCGTGCTCTGCCCGACGGATTTCTTTTGAAAGCGATTGTTTTTACGGTGTGATACATATATGAATTTACATATACAGTATGAATATACACACCCCCAAAAAAATAAATTATCGCGTCTAGCTACGGCCCTGTCGCTTGCTAAAAAAGTAAACATGTTCTAGTGTGACCTTATTACGGACATAGTGATTTTACACACTGCAGCAGATGGAAATTTCGAGTGTAAATTTTATACATTTTATCAGACCTATAACCAGGAGCAGCTGCGAGGAATGCAACTATTCCTCCTATATTCCTCTGGCAGGAATTGAACCTGAGATTACTGATATGCATTTATAATTTTATGTTGTGACTAATATACATGCACATACCTTTTGGGCAAGCTTTTGGCGCATGTGATCTTCCATCCAGGTAAAATCCGCCTGCACATGCCTGAGTAAGCCAGCTGTAAACACAGGCAGTCTTTGGGTTTATGGTTGGAACACCTGATCCGGGTCTTGACGATATTGGTTGTTTTTCACAAGGATAGATAGTTTCATTATCACCTGTGACCGGGCAGCATTGACGGATATATTTCTTTGGACAGCATCCACCAGGAGGAGGTCTGGGCTTCTCTGTAAAACAACGGTTTATTTAAATATCAAAATTTCAGGTAATTATTACTACTACTAAATAATAATTAACAATTATTGGATGAGGTTTTTGTGATATGCGGAATTATCAAGGTCGAGGTAAGCGTTATCAGCCGAGCCGAAGCTGCATGAAGGCGAGGCTGATAACGCTTACCGAGACCTTGATAATTTTGCATATCGCAAAAACCGAATTCAATAATTGTTTTATTATACATTTGAAGAATAATAAACATAGTATTAAAGCTTTATTTATGAAAACCTATCCATATATTCACATTTGTTCAAAATTTTGCTTTGCTAGTTTTCCTTTGTTTATGTTAATCGTTTGCAAATAACTCAGTTATTGCGTGATTGCGCGATGTAACTGTAAGCTCTTAGCCAATCAAATTGTTTTAACCAACTACAATGTATAATAATTATAATAATTAGTAACAATTCTATAAGCTCTCGAGATGTTTTTGCGAAAAAGTGTTCCACATTTATAAAGATACTAGAAAATATTGGTTTTGATATTACATAAGCACATAATGTCGTGCGTATAAAAATTATGCCTTAAAAGTATTAGATTCTTATTGCATCTCCTGCTGCCAAAATAAGTAATGAGAAAATTTTGATCAATTAAAATGTCTATTACCTTTTTGAAATATCTTACTTGTAGTTGTATATTTGCATGTATTTGTTTATATTGTTTGACTAAAAAATAGCAGTTGTGATTCAAGTTATTAATTGAAAGTTACTTTAATAATGATATTTACAATAAATGTACGGTATATGTAATATTATTATTATTAGTTGTTGTTGTTTTTGTTGTTATATCAAAACAAATCGTTTAATCAGCGATCTTTTAATCAAAAAATTATATTTCCGGATTGAAGTTTCGAATTTACAATCAACTGGTAAAAAATTGTTTACAATCTCGTACCCAGAGCAATGCCTGTGCGCGGGCTAGGATGGCATTGGCTCTGGGGAAATTGACAATCGGAACCCCTAAATTTAGGGGTTCCGGTTCTTTGTCGGCATGCACGATTGATAACGTTAAACCAATCACAGCACAAGAAAAATTCAATTTCCCCAGAGCCAATGTCATCCTAGCCCGCGCACAGGCATTGCTCTGGGTACGAGATTGGGATGTTTATGAAAGTTAACAATAGTACTAATTCAGGTTTTAATAGCACGCTAATGAAGCGTGAGATTGTCCCCATGGGCAGTGAATACTAATAAAGTAAACAAATAAATTCATTTTACAAGTACTAGTTAAAATATATTCAAAACTGATCTTTACGGGCATTTAACAATGGCTCGTGCTGCGCGCTCGCCATTGTAATTGCCCTTCAAACACTCATTAATAATTCATAAGCTTATTGGCAAATCATGTCAACCAGGGCGCTTATATATCATAATAAATAGATATATAAGCGCCCTGATGTCAACCATAATATGTCACGTGCAGTGGCTTTAAACCTGATAAAACACTCCTAATTAGTATTCTTTATATAAAGAATACTAATAAGGCAGTATCTATTGTAGTCGTGTCCTCATTAGTATTCTTTATATAAAGAATACTAATAAGGCAGTATATCTATTGAATTTGTAGTCGTGTTTGAAGCCGTTTAATTAATAAACTCACAGGTCGTGTTTTATTAGGTCTAAAGCCACTCGCGCTGCGCGCTCGTGGCTTTAAACCTAATAAAACACTCCTGCTCGTTTATTAAACAGTACATAAAGATCAGCTGCTCATATTTTAACTAGTACTTAAAAATTAGTAAAACTGTAGGTCTTATAGCAAAATTAAGGCATTTTGTACCAACTGATATCCTTCTGAATATCTATAGATCTTTGATTCTTCCATATTTAACTTATGGTTTGGTAATCTGGGGGCAGGCGTGCAAATCATATTTGAAAGATCCTAGTTCTTCAAAAACAGGTTCTTCGCCTAATATTTTTCAAGAACAGAAGGGAGCATGCGATCCCACTTTTTGTTGATTCCGTCATAATGCCAATAAGTCTTTTATATTATCAGTCAGTGTCAAATTTAAAGTACGATGTAAATAACGGAGTAGCTCCAACTAATATTGTAAATTTATTTCGAAAAGATTTTTAGTATTCATACACACAGTACTCGATCTGTTGCATCTGATAATTTCTATCCCCTGATGAAATATCAAGACTTAAAATACAAGAGAAAGGTGTTTCACGGACAGGTGTAAAACTGTGGAATGAGATACCAGTTTTTCTTAGGGAGATGACAAAACCTAGGTTTAAGAAATCAATAAAAAATACCTATAAATATTTTTGAACAAGAAGATACATATCTTGATATACCAACAATAGTTTCAAATGTAAATGTTCTAAGTGCAAACGTACCACCTTCATTGCACGTTATTTACTTTTCCTTTCTTTTTTTTAATATTCATGTTCGTTTGTAGTGTCACGCATGTTCGTCTGTTTGTGACAAACTTTACATAATCGTAATCAAATTCGTATTGTAATTTTTGTAAAAGATATGCCCGCCATAGATTAGCTTTAGCTATTTGCGGGCCATTCTTATTTTTGTATTATTATTTAAAAGTTAATAAATTTGATGTTGATGTTGAATGTTCAATTCTTTTGAATCGATTATAGTGTTCGCTGCTGGGGCATGGTAAGTACGCTTATGTCTTAGGTTATATACATGATTCTTAATGGGAGACAAGAGTTGGTAAAGTTTATTGGTACTATCAGATTTTATGGACTGGAATAGTTTATTACATAATGTTTGTCTTCGATCATACAGACTGTCAATGCCAGCATCCAGTAGATTTTCCTTATATGGTGCTCCATTATATATAATTAACAAACGATCTTTTTTGGACGCGTTCTAAATCTTCTTCCAGGTATTTTGGTAGAGTGTGATGTAAAACTGGAGCTGTGTATTCGAAGACGGGTCTAATACAAGAACAATAGAATTGCACAATTTCTTTCTCAGGAACTCTTACCCGTCTTAGTTGAACAAGACAATATAATCGTTTGTTTGCTTTTTTAATGGACGACTTGCGCTTTAGACTAAATTTTAATCTAAGTACGAACAACGAAATCTATCACCACAGCTGGAAAGAGCGTTTTGGAATTAGTAATATTACAAAGTTTGGTTGCGAAATGTTGTAAAATACGGAAAATATAGCCCTTCAAAGTTGGCAAATTTGTATACTTTTGTATTACGTGCGTGAATTGGTAACTAAATTAGTTACCAATTTCCGCACGTAATAGAAATATATACAAATTCGCCAACTTCGCAGGGCTATATTTTCCGTATTTTACAACATTTCGCAACCAAACTTTGCAGTTTTTCTAATTTTGATAACTTCTTTCAGAAAATATCCTTTGTTATTCCCAGATTAAAAATTTTTCTAAAGCGTAAGTCATCCATTGTTTCTTCAATGTGCTTATTCCAGGCAACAAGTCGGAAACTGTCAAACCAAGCAATTTTGCGTGACTTGCGTGATTAACAACTTCAACTGGTCTGCCGCTTACCATGACAGGATGAAAATGTTGTTTTCTCTTCTTGAAATCAATTCTCAGTTCTTTACATTTTGTTAGTTTATGTCTAAAGACCAGTTTTCGACTTTAGAAGTTGCAACTTGGATGTTACTGTTGCTGCCTTTGGGAATTCCATAAATCTGTATCGTCTAGGTGGAGGTCATTGATCATTAGCAAAAACAGCCATGGGCCCAACTTGATCCCTTGGGGAACACCGGATGGTACCATTTCCCAATCTGAATATACATTCGATAGTTCAGTTCTTTGGAATCTGTTCATCAGAAAATCCACTGCCCAACATGCTACTTTTCGAGGAATTGTGACAACTCGTCAATTTTCTTTGCTAAAATGTTGTGATCGATCAGATCAAACGCCTTTCTGATAGCGCCATACTGGCTGCGATCAATAATTTCGAGAACTGCAGGTGCTATGTAATTAGTGACAATATAATCATCGGCCACCTTTGAGATAGATGGTGTAAGTGATACGTGTCGAAGATGTTTGTTCACTTCTATAATTAGCTTTTCTTTTGGGATTGGGGTAATATCAGCCTGTTTCCGTGATGAAGGGGGGTGTTCTTCTTTATAGAAGCTGTTCAAAATCGAAGAAATTGGTTTTGCCAGAATTACGGCATATTCCCCAAGAATCCAGTTTGAAATTCCGTCTGGGCCACCAACTTTTCGTACATTTAAGTTTCGGAGGATATTATATGTGGAGTACTCCGTAATATATGAAAATTCTTAATCAGGTCCGATCCTATACGTTGAACTGCATATGGGTTGCTATGGAGAGCTTAGGCTCTAGAAATGTTTGGTTGATCTTATTTGTAGTAACAGACAGGTTCTCTTTGTCAATGTTGTCAATATGTAGCTGTGCAGTCAAGTCCTCACCTGAAGTTGGTACCTGCATACCTGCTATATTTTTCAATTCTTTCCACCATGCTGAGGGCTTTGCATTCTTCAGATATTTTACCTTACTAGAAAAATAATGTTCTCGCAAAGACTTTCTTTCCCTGTTTACAAGGATACGGTAGAATCGGTAGGTAATAAAATCCATTTTAGCAAAATATTGTTGACGACATTTAATGAGGTGGATAAATTCAGGTGTAACCCATGGAGCGTTGAGAGAATGAGTCATAG